TGGTCCAGACAGCTGAGGTCATGTTGAAGTCGCGGCCGAAAGCAGCACCAGCATCAATGGATGAGCCCGCAGATGACAAGGGAGCCACATCCAGCCAGTACCAGCCGCAGGCAACTGCGCGCTTCGAGGGACAAGCATCTGGCCACGTGAAAGCATATTGGATGGAAGAGCATTTGCCTGAATACCAATATACAATGGTGACCAATGCAGACGGGGACGATGTGCCCGGCATCCTCTTTGAAGGTACGGCTTATGAGCTGGAGCTGATATCGGCATCCGACGTTGAGACCATTGCCAGCCAGACTCGCGTCGACAAGAAGTTTTCTGATTTTGCAACTCGTGTCAACAAAGTTTGCAGGGGGCATGGATCCTGTGCCAAGGTGCCAATGGACAAAGACCTTTGGATTGACTTGGAGGATTTCGCCAAAGCCTTCCGCAAGGAAGTGCCCCCAGATGTTTTCATCACTGTCGCAAACCTGTTTGGCACCGCAATGAAGATCGACAAGCATGGCAAGAGTAGGTTCCAATTCTTGTGTGCAAAGATCTCCCATTTTCCTGTCGACAATGGCCTAGGCATGCCGTATTATCCTGTGAAAATCCGTGCAATTCAGGGTCACTCCGAAGCTGCCTTGAAAACCGCAGGGGGTCTTTATGCCAATTCAACCATGGTGTATTGCTCAGACCATGTATCCCCCGAGCGAAAAGCCGCCTTCACTGGCGTGCCCCTGTGTGCCATGACTGAGGTTCCTGAGGTTGTCTTCCATCGCACGATGAAAAGCAGCTGGAAGAGCATCGCACAGAACGGCCTGATCCCAGGCGGCGGTGCAACAGTCAACAGTGGCCGTGCCCATATCTACATGGCAGAACACTGTATTGGCACGCAGGGGTATCGATCTGGATTAAGAGCAAAATGTCCAATCGAAGTCAAAATCGCAATGCGGCAAGCAGTTGAAGCTGGTGTCATCTTTAGTCGCACAGAAATGGATGGGATTTTGTGCTCAGAACGCATCCCACCGCAGTTTCTGGTCAGCATCTCAGAAGAAGGACAGGTGCTTTGGTCCCGCGCCGAGAGCAATCTCGAGCCCAGCACATGGACTGGCGCGGCATCTGCCTCAGCACCGAAAGCCAAAGCGGTCACCTTGACTGCCCGAGATGATGCAAATGACGACCCAATGGATGACACCAGCACGGGGCGACCCGATGCCAAGTCCACTGATGATGATGAAGCCACTGCCTCAATGCAAGTTGACCAGCCGCCCGCAAGGACGCGCCGTGTTTACATTGCACCCAAGTACTGCGAACCTTTCATGGGCTCCTGTCCCCTCTGCCAGGTTGAGTACGTCAGTGGCCAAGTGACATGCACCACATGTGGTTTTGAGCCACTCCCAGTGGACGAAAGTGGCGATACAAAAGAGGCCAACAAACCCAACAGGAGGACCCGCATCCTTGAACGGCGAATGCAAAGTCTCGCCGGGTTCGGAATGTTTGGGAAGATGAGCGGAAGCTTGCTGACAGCCTTGACGGAAGAGCAAGCCAACCTGCTACGCCGAGAACTGGGCCCCAGGGGAATCACATCCGTGGAATCAGCAGTCCTCAAAGACTGCCGCGACAGGCATCGACGTGCAAAAGCGCTGGGCTACGAGGACGTGGAAGATAGATACTCCAGCGACGTCACTTTTTGCGACCGCATCCACGGTGAGGGGAAGGACCTGCAGGACTGCATATTTGACGATATGTTCGCATATGGCAACCTCCCCGATCCCCCAAGGACCAAAGCTCAGATCTCGGCTGGCGTCGCCGCCAATGCCCAAAATGAGAACTGCTTATCTAAGTTGATTTTCATGTCTCAGCCTCGTGGCGTTGATGGCTTCCCAGTTGAGTTCCGCAAAACATGGAAGAAGGTCTGGGGTTTCATGTTTGGCCGCCACATTTTTACAGAGGATGAATATGTCAGCTACATCGGCCGTCGTGGCGCATTCCGTGGCCTGTTGACCTGGAAGGGTACTGTCCAAGTCCCTCTTGATGGCACTCGTGATTTCCTCGAAAAGGTGTATGAGGAAAACCTTCCCTTGGTTCGGAGCAATCTTGAACGCAAAGAGAAGCAGAGCGCCGCTGCAAAGGCTGGAGGTCCTGGAGGTCATAAGGCCGACCCCACGGTCGCGCCCACCATTGAGCGAAAGCGCAAAGCCGAAGCTGATGCATCCGCAACCGCAACAGATGTCACAGCCGCCTCAAGCTCTGCTCGCGCAGATGCCTCGCACGCTGATGCCCCAGCCGCACCATTTCTGGTACCCGAACCACCAACATCCAAAGCAGGAGCACGACCATTCTTGGAGCCTGAGACACCGCCCACTGCAAAAGCAGCAACCGCAGGAGTCACTTCGAAGGCTGCAAGCTCCGGTCGCCCGGATGCCTCTTGGAGTTGGAATCGTGATCACTATGGTGCACGCCGAGAATGGAGTTTCTGGCGTGGGGCTTGGTATTACCGTGACGAGGCCGGCGGCCGTTGGATCTTTTGGAACCGTTAGGGAGACGATGATTTTCTTTTGTAGCATAGCGCAAGATGTGGCATGGTAATGTGCCTTCCTTGCAACGCTGCGCTGGGTTTTACGGGCTTGAGCTTTTTAGAGGGACCTTTGAAAGACTGCACAAAATGTCTAAAACCAACTAAAGAAATTCGGCTACCCGCGAGGGTATGCTTTTCTGGGTTATTCGTTCTCCGCAGTCGTCCCTGCTCGCCCGAGGGGGGTGTAAAAACTCCTGCAGTAAAACCATGTATTGTATATATCATCGATCTGCCCGATAGCGTTGGTTCAAAAGAGCTGAGTGCTTAACGGTGTTAGCTTAGTATTTCACCCCATTGTCGGTTGACCTGGTAAAATACAGGAAATATCATGGAATAGTTTCGAAATATTTGCTGACGCTTGGGTCAATCTGCCATGACGAAAGGATAGTGGTTTACTCATGAGATATGGGGTTCAACATGTTTGATGGTATGGGAATGCAACGGAAATGGTTTTCCAAAAAATGGTGATATGGAGGGAGGAGACGAGAAGATAATACACAAGAAAAATGGTGATGGTGATGGTGATGACGACAATGATGATGGCGATGACGATGACGAGGATGAATGGCGATGGAGATGATGATGAATGATAGCTGACGCGAGTCAAATGTCATATGTCCACAATATCATGTCTTTTTTGTCCCCGCAGAGGGTTTGCTCTAGGGCTGGCACCTGAGCGACAGTCAGAATCAAAAGACATGTTGTTTTTACACAGCGAAAAAAATACACAGAGAAGATTTTACACACAGAAGCCTTTACACAGAGAGGGATTTACCACGCCCAACCTCTAGAGTAAGAAGGGCCGGGCAATAAACATACTTCACTCATTGCGTGTTTGGCAACTGTTTTTGTTTCTGGCTGTTGGGGATATTCTTTGGGTTTCTTTTGCCGTTGCGTGCTTTCGTTTTTTCCCGTGTGGGGTTCTTTGCGTTGAATAGAAACAATGATGTAAATTAGCTGGTTAACAAGTTGAGATTTCACAATGCTTCAATTATCAACCAAAAAGAAAGTTGCCATGCAAAATGGAAAGTTGAAGTTCAAAAATGCTGCAAATATCGTTGGTTCCAGCCCCCAAATGCTGCAAATAGCATGCGGAAAGGAAAGTTCCAAATATAAAGTGTTGCAAATAGCATTCAAAGTGAAAGGTTTCAGCTCCAAAATGCTGCAAATGGCTTGCAAACTCTAAGGTTCCAGCTCCCAAATGCTGCAAATAGCATAGAAAATGGGCGCAGCCAGAAATTTAAAAAACATAAACTTTAAAAAAAAACTAAACAATTTCCTATCCAAATTTGTAGCATTCGTCAGCGTGAACTGAGGCGTCCTGATCAGTGCTGTGGCCAACCTTGAAGGTTTCGCCTTGAAGGTTTCGCCTGTGAGCAACCTGGAAGCGTTCGCCGTGCAAACGGCAGAGGCCATCAGCTGTTGCAGCGGCACTGCTTCCAGTAGAATGTCATGAAATTTCTCGCCTAGGAGCGGTTACGAACCTGGAGAAACGCCATCGCAGGCAGTGCAGACTTGTTGGAAGACTTCTTCGAGTGAGTACCATCATGGGAGCTCGTTGGAATGTCCGATGAAACAATTTGCAATAGAAGCTGAGAGATAAGGCGAACATTATGTGCAAACAAAAGGACCCATTCAGTTTTGCAAGAGTCTATCGGGTCAAACTTGGTGATACACCAAGTTGAAACCAGGGCAGCTAGCAACCCCACAACGGGCTATCACCGTAGGTTGTTACAGTACAGGTTGTTTGTGAGAGCCAGGAGAATTTTCAGATTTCATAAATGATGAGCCATGTTTAATATATGTAATATCTGGTGCTTGTTGTTTTTAACAAGCTGTACCAATTGGGGCCTTGTACCGGTTGGGTGTGACAAAGATCTGGGCTCACAAGAAAGTCCACCGAAAAAATGATGGCGTATACGGGGCAAAAACATTCCAAGAAAGGCATCCTTTCATCTGTGGGAATTATACAATGTGAGGCCCCCCAGTTATAAGTTGGTTTATAAGCCCCAGTAACTATAGTTATAAGTACCATAAACCATAGTTATTGGAGTTATAAACCAACTTAGCTATCTTGGGGGCCTCACATTGTAGTAGTGTTCATGAGTTTTCCCAGATTGGTGACAGACCAAGACTGCAGATTGGGAGGGACAGCGATGTTTGACTTGATCATTACTTGATGGTTTGATGATTACATTCCCGTGTCCTGCTTATTGCTAATTCATCCCTTGGAGGAAGTAGTTCACTTGAACATCAAACTGGATGAACTTAGGATTCGACCATATGTCATCCCCTTTTCATTTAACCAGTATATTCATAGGTTTTTGATGGTGAAATGACGATTCAGGTTGGTTGAATATTTTGATTTTTGGTTTCACCTACTGTTTGCGGACCAATATTCCCTGTCGGAAATCGCCTGTTTCAAAACGCTGAGGACCAGTCGCTCCGCGCCTGGCTCTGTGGTGGCGACATCGTGAGGGCCAAGAGCAGTCGCATCGCACACATGTGGCGCACCGGTGATCGGCGAACGGCCCACTGGACGGCAACCAATGCTGTTTTTGGATGTTTTGGATTGCTGAGTCCACCACTGATTTTTTGGGGGATTGAAGATGTTCCTATATATCCTCTGGTAAACATACAAAAAATTATGGAAAATCACCATGCTTTTCATGGGTAAATCAACTATTTCTATGGCCATGTTCAATAGCAAACTGTTTGTTTACCAGGGGGTATTCTTTTGGGATTCCTTAAGCAAATACAAATGGTGGGATATTATGGTTTTTGATATCCAAATAAGCGTGAATTGTTTCCTATGATTTTCAATGGTTAATGAATGACTTCATGGGAGCCCGACCATCAGTTTCAGGGGTTTTAAGTTTTGACTTTTGACCATCAAAAAGTATAATGGAGTTCTATCATGGAACATTGAGATGTTTATTCGGCAAGGGTTTGGAAGATGTTTCCAACAAGACTTGTGATTTATGATCACTTTCCGGCTGCTAAGTTGGCACCTACAAGCAAGTGGACCTTTGATGAGTAGGTTTTACATGTATTGTATTATAGCCGATATTTTACTTTTAAATGGGGATATATACTAACAAACAAAGAAAATATGCTGGGTATTTACAGGGGATTATGCAATTCTTTAGGTTGCTGTTGGTTCATAAAGAATATTGCCTGGGTTTATGGTGGAGATGGATATAGTTTGGACTTGGTTTGCACCGGGAGTGGGGGGTTCACCAAGAAAAATGTAGTTCACCGACAGAAACAAGATTGAATTGACAAATATGGTCTGGCTGGTGATTTGGAACTTTTATTTTTCCATATATTGGGAACAATAATCCCATTTGACTAATATTTTTCAGAGGGGTAGGTATACCACCAACCAGTGGTGATTCAACCTCTTCAACGAAGTGGCAATGTTCACCGGGACCAACTTGTGGATGACTTGGTGAAGGGATGGTGCTGTCAAGAGCGACCAGGTTGAGAGGCAAAGCACATGGAGGTTCTCTTCCCATTTGGGGATGGGAAAACTTCGGGGACCCTCTGGCAATCAAACATCAATGGTGTGCTGGGAATAAGATCTGTAAATGGCAGATTCTTGGTTGCCATGCTTCATGACCGGAAGCTACAGGATGGGCCCCATAGTTAGCTAAGTTGACATATAAGTGGTTTGACTATGGTTTATGGTAGATATAACTGATATACTCTCCCTAGATAGCGTTCAGTTGGTTTATAACTCCAATAACTATGGTTTATGGTACCTGTAACTATAGTTCATGGTGATTATAAACAAACTTCTAACTGGAGGGCACCATCCTGTGCCACATTCGCCATTATGTTCCTATCAAAACTGACCAACCACTGGGATGAGAACTTACTGTTCCTGGCAAAAAAAAAACGCGAAAATCTGGCTTACTGATCCATCATTTTCTGTTCTTTCCAGCTCCGCAGTCATGGCCCGAGTTATACCAGTTATAAGCACTAACAAAACCCCATTTATAAAATGTATAATCCCATAGAACTAACCAGTTATAACTAATAGCCATGGATATACATGGCCATAAGTGTGTGGATCTGGATCAGCATGACTCTAAGTTTAGAGGTCTTGAAAATAAGGCTTCGCCGATGTTCTTCCGAAGATTTCTAAATTATGGTTACTAACCATAATGTATTAGATATTGTGGATATATAGATGGTAATAATGGCTAATGAATATCTAATATAGATGGTAATATTAAATTAGATATTGTATGTATTAGCCATTATTACCATCTATAACTGGGTAAATTATAACGACCTCACTGTTCTCCCGAACCCTGGAATCATGGTTTATTTTAAGGAAATCATCCTCAAATGGCCCAAGATTTCAGGCAAGTGAAATATTATAATTTACTTAGATAGTTTCTGCAGCAGAAACAATAAGCTACCGGTGGCTTCTGAAAGCAGAACAGCGCAGTAAGGATGACATATTAGTATGTTTACTGTTTGGATTTGCAAAATACTAAGTATATATTGTTATTCTCAATAAATTTGAACCATAAAGCATGACATAGAGGATTTCCTCTGAAATGTCCCTTGAACCAATCTATCAATTTGCTGTTCTTCAAGTTTTGGTGCACTGCCGGAATGTTTTTTCTGGGGAAAAGCACACCATTCGGGCCCTGCCGGATGTGCATCCAGGTGAGTAGATCACTGGTAACAAGCAAGTGAAAATGTCACATATAGCGTTTTCCTTAATTAAAGGTACCCCAAGATGGATGGTTTATAAGGAAAAAACTTATTAAAATGGATGATTTAGTGGTACCCCTATTTTAGGAAACCCTCATATAGCAACCCCAAAACGATGCCGAAAAGTGTCCTATAGCAACCACAAAACGATGCCGAAAAGTGTTTCCAGGATGGTAGTTCGATGATATTTTCTCATGATTTCCAGGTTTCCAGTCCTTTCCTGCATCTTCTTGGGTTTACTCTATTGTAAATTGTCAGTAGCCATTATCATTGAAATTCATGGCTAACCACTATGATGAATATAATGGTTAACTTTCAGAAAATGTTTCATTATGGTCAACCATCAATACTGTGAGTACCATTCCCATGTTGAGGCTACACATTATCGCATCAAAGTCCGGACGCTCAACAGCGTTTTTGTCGACCTGGTAAGAGGGCTGGTGTTTCTTCAGATGTTTTCACTTTTGAAGCACTGTTCAAAAGCCCTGTTGATGATGAAAAATGGGGTTATACTTTGTTATACTTTTATAGAAGAGGGATCATTTAATTATAAATCATCAACTATTGTTATACTGTATCCCAACTATACTACCCCAACTACCCAACAAAAACTGAGGATTATCACAATCCATGGATTTCGTAAAATCCCATTGAAAAACTCACCAGACTTCCCCCGTAGGCAATACATTGCTGGCCCAACTCAAACATGCTGAAACTTTGACAGAACTATTCCGGGGTATTCCTGGAGATTCCTGGTGAATTTACATTGGGATACATTGGAAATATCACCAATCAAATCGTGGTAATTTGCCATCTGCAGCAACTCATTGGAGGTATACAATACTTCACCAAGAATGGTCAAAGTTTGCGAATTTGCCCAACGTTTTTTTTCCCATTCAAGAATGGTCAAAATGACGAGAATTCATTTGAAAGTTTGCTCCAAAGACCAAAAAAAGGGTGGGAAGAAAACTGCAGGCAGAAATCCTCGCTTCCCCGGTTAAAGGGCCAACATTTACAATAGCTAGGAGCGACCCGTTCTTCTTCTAGCAGCCCCCATCTGGACTCAATGATCCAAGCCAGTAGGCTTTATGGTGGAGAATATCTCCAGCTCATGCGGGATTTTACCCGCCAATTTTGGTGAGAAGAATGGGGAGTTTTGCCAAATAATCGGGTGGGTATACTTCGTACAGGGTTGACATATGACCCATTCAGTGGTTTGTTAAGTGGGGAGTAATGATCAGTCATCACTAATCTAATTCCACAGACAGAATCCAGCAAGCGGTTGATACAGTTTTTCATGAATCTAACTGGGTAGCCCATCGAAAATTGGACTATAAGCTAGTGAAGAGCATAAATATATAAATGGAGATCAGAAACGAAACCTGTGATTTTTTCCCTGCTTATAGACAGTTATAAATGAGGGATATTCCGTAACCCCAACGATGTCATAGACCTTGAAACTCGGCCATGGCAACGGGAAAGTAGTCTTCCAAAGCCACCTTGTTGGCAGGCTCTATGTTTGTTGGAAGGATGGAAAGCATTACAAAATCATCGGACCCAGTTGCAAATGGGATAATGCCCAGTTATAACTGAGTGTAAACTATTGACCCTCCAGGACATTATAACGATTTAACAAAGTATCCAGATATTATACCTACAGGATGGTGCCCCCAATTGTTGGTTTATGAACCCCGTTAAGTATAGTTATATCTACCATAAACCACAGTTAGGTCAGGTTAAGTCACTTATAAGGCAACTTCGCTACGTTGGGGCCCCATCCTGTATACATGTACCCCATTTAAATGATCACGTAACTTGACCTCGGCACAAATAAATAGTATGAAACCAAACTCGGCGGCCTGCAGAGAACTTTCCAACTATGGCCAATAGAACCTTCTTTAATTTGCCCCCATTCACAAGCAGATTTTAAACCATCCTATCTTAACCTGGCGGGTTTGCTATATAGACATATGTTAACCCCCAAAAAGAAAGAAAAGTGATTTGCTATAGGATGGTTTTAATAGTTTAAATAGTTGCTATATAGACATATTTGCTATAGGATGGTTTCCTATATCTATAGGTAGACATATTTTAACCCCAAAAAATATTTGCCAGATTATTTTAGTAGGATTTGACGTTCCTATTTTTGGGGAGTTGCCAATCATAGGCTCGATCTACCAACAATCGCGGCCGAGTAGTGGCTGCGTGGTTCGGACCCTTCAAGGAAGTTGCGCGCAGCCCGGGGCCTCGGTGACGGTGGTTGGTCTAGTTTATAGTGGCAACCCTGGAAAAGATAGAAAAACTAAATCCCGCATCTTTTGAAGGAAAATACGGTTCTGTTGTTGTTTTTGTGGGATTGCTATAAGGAGGTTCAATTGCTTATATTGTTTACCATGAGTGTCATAGTGATCTGTGTGCTGGCAATCTATACAGAGAAATCTGGGGCTTTGGCCATGAAAAGTAGAAGGAGATGCCCGAAATGATGGAAGTATGAGGTGATTGTGGCAAAAATATGGAATATTCTCAATGGTTTGGTTTAAGGGGATTTTTTTTACAGGAAACCCCCTTGATCTTCATGGGAACATCTATGGTTGTCTGTAGATGTTCCCTTAAACCAATCCAATGAGAATATTTACAAATATTTGGGTATACCTCGATGAAGGGTAAACTCAATGAAGTCTGAAAAACCGATGTTCTTTGCGTGCAATACATTGGGGTATATCATATCTGTAGCTACTATAGCCAGTATTGGTGAGATTCACTCAGCACATGTAAAGAGTTGACCCACCTAACTCTGTAGCTTTGGGAAAATGTGTTTGATTGATTGATGGGTGCACAAAAAAAAACTTGGGGAAAAAAAACATATAACAGTTGGATATTTAAGGGACAAATAACATTCTATGGGTGCACAAGACGTTGGGAAAAACACGTTCAAATTTCATATCTGGTTGGTGGTTTGGAACATTTTTTATTTTTCAGAGGGGTAGGTATACCACCAACCAGAAAATGTTTGAAAGTCCTCCATTGGCCCATTCACTTCAAAATCTCACAGGAAAGCTTGAGAACCGCAGGGAATTCCCTGCGGGATTTCTGATCAAAAAACGATGGAAATCGCAAGTTTTCATGGGAAAATTCACAATTTCTATGGTGATTTTCCATAGTTATGCTACCCTCTGGTAAACCAACATAACTATGGAAGATCACCATTTTTAATGGGAAAATCCACTATAAATGTCCATTTTCCATGGCTATGTTAAATTACCAGAGGGTAAATTACCAAATGATGACCCAATGTCTATTTTGCTGGAGAACATGGTGATCTCTTGATCTGAGCCATCCATTTGAGACCATCTGTATCCAATGAGAAACTCTGGCTCTGAAAATAGGCCGCAACAAAAAACTGGATACCCAACAGAATTGTTCAATATGATGTTTTTTTTCCCGGATGTGAAACATTTTTCCAAGCTGCCGGTTTGTCTTCTGTGTTTTCCTGTGCCAAACGGTGGCACGTTGCGTTGCCACATTGGTTTGCCGCAGGGTCATCCCCTCTTCATATGTTTTTTCCCCCCAAGCCTATGAATTTGAGGCCCCCCAGTGATGTTAGTTGGTCTAGATTCGCCCCAGTAACTAGTTCGTTAAACTATAGTTATAAGTACCATAAACCATAGTGAAATTGGAGTTATGTTCGCCAACTGAACGCTATCTTGGGGGCCTCACATTGTATGAATTTGAGTATTGGATCTATTCATGACTTGGGGGTCGAAAAAAGGCTGATATTTTTTGACCATGATCAAAATTTGGGGATTTGGTTTGCTATTGATGTGGCTGTCGCTCAGCTTACGTTCCGATGTGTGGTTGAAACGCAGCTGGAAAATCCCCAAACTAAATGGAGGTTTCTAGCTGGTTAAATCATCTATAAATGGGGGATTTACCATTGCCATGTTTGATATTGTTTGATTACTGAAGCTTGACAGATAGACTGATAGACGGATCTTGAGAAGAGAGCCCACACGGTTCATCCGCATCACTGAGCCACAGCGACTGCTTAGGTGCAGGAGGAGTCGATGAGGCCTGGGAAACTGCTGAGGACACTCTAAATGAACATCTCAGGTGGTTGAACATATGCTCATTAAAATCCCATAAGTTTAGGATGAAATCTCATTAACATCCCATAAAATGAGGATGAAATTTGTCTTACACCAATTTTTGTTGGCGAACGCTCCTTTACGCATCCATTGTGGCGTATGCTGAATGGCCTTGCTCCTCTTGAATCATGGTCAAAGATCGCCGAAGCACTTCAGTGCCAGCCTGAAACTGGTCTACCGCTCGGCGGAGTCCTGCAATGAGGACTTGCTCAGCGGGGGGCCTTATGTAAGGCCCGAACATTAGGCCACACTGGTCTATGGGGCAGATCCTCAGGTCAGGAAGTGTGGGCCATAACAATACCACTTCGGCGGCCGTTATGGTTCATGACAGATCCGCGCTTATATGTGAAGGAAAAAGATGTCTTAACATCATTTTTTGCTCAAAGTTGCCATGCTAGCAGCGTGATCAACTGCGCTTGACCATGCCGTCGCGCAGAGCCTTCACAAGCAAAGAAGGGCAACGTGATGTGCCGGTTGCCAACTGCGGCTGCGTTGGATCAAAGAGTTCTCCAGGCCATTGAAATTACCCCCTGGTGGTAGAACTGTGCCCTGCGGCCGTGGTGATGACTTGTGCAGTTGGGAAGATGACATTTGCAATACTTGGTCTGTGACCTGGCAGCAGCCGATGAACCATTTTCATTTGCCTTTGTCACTCCAATACCACATCCCATCATGTCTGGCTATTCTTTTTTTTGACCTACAGTGCCCCTTGCCAAAGCATTGCATCCTGAATGCCTTAATCAGCTCGTAACTAGGCTAACTACAGTTTATGGTGGACATGTGTTAGATATATATATATATACATATCTAGACACGTCTTTAAGCCAGCTTCTAACTGGGTGGCCCCACACTGTATCATGGGAACAAAAACGAATTTGATCAAACCCAGCACAAAAAGGATTGAATTTATTTGACCAGCTAACACCTGGCAAAGAAACCCACATATGAGAGTAGGGTCCAATGACATGATGCTGGATTCATACATATGGTGTAGCATTCGGATCATTGAGAACATGTGAAATGCTACGGATTGGTTTAGGACAGTCTAAACTGAACTGTGCCGCTTAAAATTGGGGATTTTTAGGACAAACCTCTGGGTGTAAACGGTTTTCCGGGTCTTTCCTGGAGATTGTCGGTCAAAAGTGGTGGAATAGAAAGATTCGGTCACACAACCGACGTCCTTTTTAGGGCCGGTGAGTGACATGCTTCCGCTCTCATTTCCTTTAGAGATTCAAACTGCGTCATTTTGCATGGTTTCTAAAGCATCATGGTGGTTTAAAAGACCTAGTCCATGGTTTATAACACTTTAGCTGGTGGTGTTTTTTAATGTTCATCCCCCCAGTCTTTCAGGGTACAGTTTTACAGACGTATCAATCCAAAATTCTGGTGACCATTGTCCATGCTAGCGGTTTTTAATGCGGCTCTCGATCAACCAAAACAGGTGTCTATCCTTGGGTAAACTAACATAACTATTGAACCTTCCCATTTATGGATGATTTGCCTATTGAAACAATGTTGATTTTCCATAGTTTAAAGTTAGTTTACCAGAGGCTAACTTCTAACTATGCAGAGGGGTCCAGTAGTGACTTGGACTTGGCCGATGATTCGTTTCCAAAAATTTCCCACTGGGGAATCGGAAAATTGGAGATCGATGAAGCAAATCCAAGGTGAGTGAAGTAAGTGGCCTTCCGCCAACGGAATTTTCATAGAGGTCTTAACACAGAAGTTGAGGAGGTTTATTTTGACAAAACACATCATCCATTGTGGATGATGTGTTCGGGGATGAAATCCTGCTCTAATCTGAAAGTAGCCCGTAGCCCCTAGATCTTTTATCATCATGTTCTTTAACATGATGTGCCATGAAAATTTGGCGGTAAATCACCCACGTTCAGTCTCACTCATATCATGTTGTTGCTTACCCTCTGGCTAACATAACTATGGAAAATCACCATTTTCAATGGGTAAATCCACTATAAATCATCATTTTCAATAGCTTTTTGTATGTTTACCAGAGGGTACATATCTTATGAAATCCCCGCTTTTTGTACCTCATGAAATAAATTCCCCGTGATACCTCCCATGCTGATAAAATGAACTACCCGACCTGGTAAACATGTTTACCAGAGGGTATCTATCTCCATTCTATCTCCATTCCATCTCCATGTTCAACCTCATTACTTTCCATTTCATATCATTTTTCATCCCCATGTTTTTTGGCTAGATCCAAGAAGCTTAATTCATATCCAATGTTTATGGCTGGAAACTATAGATGTCATCCCCTATTCTAATAATCCGAATAAGAATATTGATAGATTAATGCTAATACGACATATAGATAATGGTGAAACAGTAGATCCAATCTTTTACTAACCGGAAAAACCTACACTTTGCCGGTCGAACTTCCCAACTTCTTTTTGGCGCCAGGCGGATGTGCAGAACTACGCCAACTTCAAACAACGGTGCCTCGGATCCTGGTGTCGTCAATGGTAGGGGAGCCCCAAAGATTCCCATTCGGTGCAAGCTAAGGGGCCCAATACATGGCTAAGTTAGTGTTTTTTGCTACGTTAACAATATGGATCAATATGGTTTCTCCATGTTTATGGTGGATATATGATATATGGTAGCAATGTGGTGCCCCCTCCAGTTATGTGAATGTTGGTTTATAAAGCCCATGAAAACTATAGATATATCACCGTTTTAAACTACAGTGAAATTGGAGTTAGGTTCACCGACTTAGCTATCTTGGGGACCCCACTTTGTATGAATGGCCATTAATAGAGAGTGGTACCCTCAGGGGGGCCCATTGTACGGCGCTTTGTTTTTTAAAAAATATGTTGATTTATACTCATAGGTCTCTATTAATATTAGCGAATATCCAATATGGCAATATGGGTTTTTACAATGATCTGATAGTATGGTTAATACCAATAATATTAGCTATATGATTTACTATGATAATAATTAACCATTAATAGATATTATTGGTTAGTGTATGGTTATTTCCCATGACGGTGATTCATTGGACCTCTTGATATATTTTTTTGGGCTGGGATGTCTGATTGCCGGAGAAACGTTTCAGAAATCTTGATGAATGGAATTTGTCAGCAACCGACACGTTCACAGGAATCGAACAATAATTTTTTCTTAGAGTTATTTCCATCAATATTCGCAGCAAGTTGGGAACATGAGTATATGTAATGTGTTTTCTTTGATGACTTCTGACTTATGAACTTCCATAGGTTGCTTTGCGAATTTTACCCTTACAGAGAGGGCCTGACTTGGTGATGTTTGTTGGTTTATGTTCACCCATCGATACCTGGTTCGTGGTTTCAAAGATTTTTATTTCCCATAATATATGGGATAATCCTTCCCATTGACAACTATTCAGGCTAGTGAAATATTCTGGTTGGTGGTTTGGAACATGTTTTTTCCATATATTGGGAATAGTGATCCCAACTGAGTTTCATATTTTTCAGAGGGATTGAAACCACCAACCAGATACGCAATGATTGATTTCCACTCAAAACCCGACAGATATTGGAGTTACCAGCTGAAACCATTCTCACGGAATCTCCACCGTTTAGGATTGAGCCATCACAAAATGTCCAAGTTTGATTCATATGTGCCATGGTCAAAACTTGGATTACATATGATTGTAAACAAAGGGGGATGGTCATCAATCCATATCAATCCATTAATAGATATTAGTAGGGAATTTATATGACCCCAAACCATCTATCATACCACATCGGTTTTGTTCCTTAATATATAATCTTTAGATACCGATACCCAGTAGATATCAAGTATATAATATACCATTCTATATCCATCATGTATCCCATTTCTTAATCCATGGCCATGTTGCTTTATGTTTTGAGCCTCTCACATGACAATTCCTCTGATCCTGTTGCACATGTTTCTTTACTGAGGCTGAATTGTCGGTGTGATGCTCAGTGGGCCGACAGGTTGAATGACAGTTTTTTAACATTATTCAATGTCAAATTCTTGGTTCATTGTACCCCATATTATATCCCCATTAGTTGGTTCTATATCCCATCAAATGGTGATTAGCCATTATTAGATATTATATATTGGCCATGTGTCATGTTTTTAAATTGGTTTGTAAACCCAATTTACTAAAGTGATATCCCCCATAAACTGTCCAACTTATAAGTCAACTTAGCTCTCATAAATCATGTATAGATTCCATCAAATTCCTATGTATATAAGTGTTGGTTAAATCACCATTGTTCTACAGGATGGGGCCCCCGTTCGATAGCGTTCAGTTCACATATCAGTGGCTGAATTCTATGGTTTTATGGTGTGTATATATACATATATATATATATCTATAACTATAGATAACTATAGTATTTACGGGATTTATAAACCAACATTCACATCACGTTTGGGTGCACCATCCTGTGTGGTTTTCCTATGGTTTTTCGTTTCGGGGCCCTTAAAAAGGCCTAACATCGATGCCAATACATCCTGCGACCGGCCAGGTGGGCCAGGAGGTTTGCTAAATGGTTAGTATCCATTTCAGGAAACATGTATGTAAATGTATCTATATATATATATCCATGTACATATACTATATATATATATAATTGTTCATGTAATCATATAGGTATGTATGTATATATATATATATATACACACGTGTATACAGATATTGTAGATCTTGGTAGTTATTTGGTGTAGAAATTGTGCATCTTGGGTTGCATCTTAAATCCCTCCACCAAGCATCTAGTGTCACCCGTCGGACATTGAGGTGTCCATAGCCATGGGGTACCCCAAGTTCGCTGGATGGTTTATTTCATGGAAAATCCCTTTTAACATATGTAGAGACAGCGCTCTTCTTTACCCAAAACCATTAGGTTTTCCTATTATCTATTGACAATAACATATATATATATATTATACATAATAATCAATTAATAACCAATGTTGGATGATGACTGGGGGTAGCTCTATTTTAGGAAACCTCTAAATGAGGACTTCTTAAAATTTAGCTTGCTTATGAATGAATGCGGTGCTAGCTGGATCAGTTGGGTCCAACTGCTCCATCTGAAATCCTTCGATCCTCTCTCAGGCCCTTTAGCTATTTCATCTATCGCTTTCGCAAGCTTTACTTGGAAGGTGCCACTATGGGCACTATGGGCACTACGGGCACTATGGGCACAATGAAATGTTGACATCTGAGCTGAAACAAAGATGACGAGCTAGACTTGGACTTCTGAACAAAAAACACATTTATTTGACGGGAAACAAGATGAAATAAGGTTTTTTTCTCTCCAAATTTGGCTACCCTAAGAACTATGACCAAAATTACGATGATTTAACGTTCCTTCATTTCAAATGCCCACAAGATGACAAGAAACTGGTGGAATTCTGCTCCCAGACCTCTCCCATGCCAGGTGGGGTGATCGCCAAAGAATCCTTCTTGCTTCAAGAGGCGCGAGGTCTTCACCTTTTAGTTGATGTGTATTCTCAGTGTCCTTCTATACAGTCATGGCCCTTTTCCAGCTAGAAGTACTTATAACCCCATTTATAACATGTATCATCCCACTTATAACCAGTTATAACTAATAAATGGCCATAACTGTAGAGTATAGCCTTCATAATTTACCTCTTGAGTAATTGAAGAGTGTTCAAAAAAGCACTACAGTTGATGATTTTTTGAAAGGTTTTACTACCAAATATATTGGAGTATCGATATCCATTATGAGAAATCCTCTAGACCAGCTTGAATACAGGGACAACGTTTTGTGTTTTGCAGACTGAACTGGGAAAAACTCGAAAATCGTCCAAGAAGTGATGAAAATAAGAAGAACGGACGGTTTAGATCTTATTTTTGGGGTTGAACGTTGACCCAGGCGACTGGCGACTGCTGATTCAGTATGGAAAAGTATGGTTAAACCATGGAGAATCTATACTTGCAGAAGGTCCAACAGTTCGTTCACTATTGTTTTGTTGAGCATACATATAATATATATATATATACGTATATATATATAGTTAGATAGATACATCAAACCTTGCTGAAATTGAGCCAAATCAAATCCGTCCGAGTAATGAACAAAATTCCGGCCGACCAAATCGAATAGATGATGCGTTATTTATCTTATGCCGATATGTTTGATGGGATAATTATTCCAAAGATGGCACACCTTTAAGATTTGCATTAACATAAGTTGCCCCCTTGCACGTTTGCAATTTCTTTGTTTTGTCACATGTTCAACCCTTTTGTAGATTTAGTGTAATTTATTTTCATTTGCGTTCATTTACTTTCATGAACTTTCATTTGTCCATTGTTCTTTAGCTTGGAAATTGAGAAAAAAGAGCACCACAAGGAGATCACTAACACCTCGAGCCGGCCGAAAAATCGCCATGGCGAAAACAAACCATCAATGGTGGTTTTGGATAGAAAAAAAGATCTTTTGTTATGGGATCTAATGTGACGGCCATGGGTTTATGGTTGACATGTGTCTCTGGATGAACACCAAAACTGCCAATGGATGTCTTGGCTGGTATGATCCTGCCATCCATTGACTGTTTTCCTGCACTGGATGGCCCACCAACCGGCCTGTTTGCTAATGGCTTTGTTTGGATACAGGGGACCAAACTGCATGATAGTTATAGACGGGCTTTAGATATTTGTAGATAGTTAATGTTACGTCTGATGGTTTTGAATGATATCTCTAGAATCTGAATATCTATTGATATTGTTTCTGACATGTACTGATGATTGATGATATGTTTGGATATGCAATGGTAATATATAAATATATGTGATTAGATATGTATGGTTTTTTTTAAATAAAAAACTTCTAGCATGCATGTATTTCCCTCTTTTTTAGCTGACACTCCCTGTGTCCAAGTTAGTTCGTTTGAGTGCACTGTTGACCTACTTCCAGCAAGGCCAGCAAATGGTCAAAGGTTGGAAAATGCTCATTGTTATCATTACCTTCTGGCAAATAAACATAGACCCTGAAAATCACCATTTTTTAATGGAAACTAGTCTTCCAACCCCGACAACTGCCAGGGTCTATGTTAATTTACCAGAGGGTAATCTTTGTTAATATTGTGATTAATCATTATTTACCAAAGATTTAAGATACTATTATGGTTAATTACATTTTCATTAGGCTTACTCACCATTAATCATCATATTATGGTCATACTGTTAATAATTGTGTGGTTCCCAGGTGTCTACGGGCAAATGTCTCCACACTTCTGCGTCCTTCAGTGGCTTGGAAATTAAACAATTCTGTCGGCGGTGGGCATGGCATCTTTGGGAAAAATGGGCAAAGATATGTTGGGATCCAGTGGTATATTATTGTGATTACAGTTATGGCCCGAGTTATACCTGTTATACCAGTTATACCAGTTATAAGTACTAAACAAGTCACCCCATAAAAATGGTTCATGCTTTTGAATTTCTTATTTCCAATTGATATTTCCAATCCCAAAATCATCATTTCCCAAAAAACAAAGTTATGTTTTTGAATTTCTTATCCCATTAAAATAACCCATTTTCTCACTAATATCCATGGCCATTGGCCATGTTGTGATTTATCGGGATGAATGAAGATTAATGGGACACAAGTCATGGGAAGATCATGGGATCTGGGTAAATTTCATCACGACCGAAGCCTGTTCTCCCGAAGCCTGGAATCATGGTTTATTTTAGGGAAATCATCCCCATTCATGGCCTTAAACTATTCAGGTTAGTGAAATATTCTGGTTGGTGGTTTGGAACATTTTTTATTTTTCCATATATTGGGAATAATGATCCCAACTGACTTTCATATTTTTCAGAGGGGTTGAAGCCACCAACCAGATGGGATAATTTGAGATGAACGCGCTGGAAATCATAGTAGAATAGAGTGTGCAAGAAACTCTTCCCGTGGTCATATAACTGGGAAATCAGCATCCGTTTTATCTGCCGGATGCGTCAACGGTCAACGGCTTTCTTTTTGCCAATTTTCATAGAGGAACCGAATATTACAAGAATTGGTAATTGTTCCTCTATGAAAATTGTTGCCAATTTAAAGAAAGATTGATGATACCATTTTGATATCGGTATTTGTTTAAACACAATTGGCAAGGCATGAAAAACAACAGATGGCGAAGCTGTTTTTGACTAGGCCATGGGGCGGCCATGGGGCGGCCATGGGGCGGCCATGGGCCGACATGATTTGCCTCAAACACCCTCAAACATATAACAACGTTGTGGACGGACGCGGCATTGGGGGAAGCAGCTGATACATAAACATCCACAAACATGATCCCTTCAACCAGCACAAATGAGTTGGGGCGTCAATGATACTAGCCCTTTAGACTTGTCACATCCCTAGACAGAAGCAAGTGCTTCTTGTGCTCTTATGGCAGTTTCCCAAAATGGCGGATCCCCAAGTCACCATGGGTTTCAATATTGAAATGGTCTAATTCAGGACAACTTGGGAGTATCACCATTTTCGGAAAACTCCATATGATAAGGTACGTACACTCACGCTCTACACATGATGATGGTTACGCATTCATACTGTGGATGCTCCCACTTGACCAGTATAGCCATTACCAGCAAGGATGGATGCCTCAACCACCAACCAGAATGGCAAATGAATGTACTCTTTTGTAATTGAACAACGGGACATCCAAGTCTTGAAAACTGTGTTGGGAATATCATCTACAAATGGACCTGCATCATGGCGCATGTTCAAGCAAGCTTGGATTTGATTCTATCCAGAAGTGCCAGCTTTTTTCGATGTGGAAAAACCAGAGATTCCATGGTGCATTGACCCATATAAAATATGATATCATATGCAGATTCACGCGTGGTATTTGGATTACTGGTTGGTGGTTTCAAACAGTTTTTATTTTCCATAATATATGGGATAATCCTTCCCATTGACTAATATTTTTCAAGATTTGGTTAAAACTACCAACCAGATTAATTACAAGTCTTTACCCTTAGGATGTACCTTTACCGGGTAAACGTTGACATAGATGTGGAAAAAAAACCATGGAAAAACCAGCGTTGGTAGATCATTTTCCGAACAAAACCAGTGGTTTTTCAGAGGTAAAATCCATATAGGCCATATAGATTCCTTTGAAATCTCTATGAAATCATCTACGGGAAAGGATATCATCCACCCCACCCCCCCCATAGGCGGAACCAGTGGCAGATGTGCCAAGACGCCAGGTGACTGTGCCAAGACGCGCAGACTCCAGTTGGGCAATGTGGACAGGCGCCAGGGCATTTGTTGCGCAAACGTGAAAGCCATGCGATCTGAGCTAGCTGGGCATCATGAAAAATGCTGGTCGAATGGTGATTTCATGGGATTTCATGGGTCTTATATTGTGTATAATATAATATATATATATATATATATATGTATATAAATATATACATTTACATATACATTTACATATACATATACATATACATATATATATATATGTATATATATACATATACATATACATATATATATATATATACATGTATACACATATATACATATATATATATATACATGTATATGTCCAGTTATGGGATAGTATCTGGGACTACCGACTGGTTCGATACGAACTAGTACAACTTAATCTTTGCTATGGTCAAATGTACACTCACCAGCAAAAAACTATATAGGTTTTTTCTGGCAGGTATCTAAGATTCACTATGTTGGCAGTACTAAGCAGATTTGGGAATATGTGTATATATATATACACGTATGAGCTACAAATTTGGGTATTAGAGGCGCACAACTTGACAACTTGCGACTTATCCAACAACTTGCAATACGATTTGAATCAACAAACATGGCAAGTCGACCAAAACCACAGTCGTTGTGGTCGTTGTCCGCTCCAAGCATCACATGTTTTGCTTTTACAGAACCCATCACGTCAAAGTTGATTTTCCCAACGTTGCTTAGAATCGAATTCTTGTATAGTCCAGTGACCATGGATTCCATCCCAGGTTGATGGTGAGATGTTTGGTCTATACTCAGGGGTTTAATGAGGATTAGGAAATATTCAATGGCCATTTCAGGAACCTAAATTGGAGGTACCTACCATATATAAGGCCTATATAAGGCCTATATGAGGGAATATTCCGGCAAAATATGGCCTTATATGGTACAGTACCTCCATTTTAGGATCCTGAAATTCCCATTGAAATATAGAACTATAATCCAGATGGGATTCACTGGTTTGATTGGGAATATTCACCCCGCTTCGCGTGGGGTGGCCGCCCACACCGCAGGTTTATTTCGGTCCGTGAGAGGGGCTAAGGGTGGTTTTCCCCCGTGGGGGCTCCCCAAGCTAAGAATTTTCACTTTCCCCCCCCCGTGGGGGCTCCCCAAGCTAGGGAATTTTCACTTTTCCCCCCCGTGGGGGCTCCCCAAGCTAGGGAATTTTCACTTTTCCCCCCCGTGGGGGCTCCCCAAGCTAGGGAATTTTCACTTTTCCCCCCCGTGGGGGCTCCCCAAGCTAGGGAATTTTCACTTTTCCCCCCCGTGGGGGCTTCCCAAGCTAGGGAATTTTCACTTTTCCCCGCCGTGACAGCTTCCCAAGCTATGGAATTTTCACTTTTCCCTCCCTTGGAGGCTCTCCAAGCTGCGGAATTTCAAATAGCTAGACAACGACGCCTAGATAGTCCCCCAAATCCCGTGTTCTTTGAATGTGTTTCCATGTTTTTGCAATGGTTTCCTTCAAAGCACGGTACTTTACACTTTTGTCGCCATAAAACCGGTCGAAAACATCATGTTCGACAATGCTTCCAATTCCCTTATCTCCCCAACCGTTGAAAATACCGCTATTTACAGTGTTTTCTTCAATTTTTCCATGTGCCAATGCCGGTAGCCAACTCCAACATATATATAAGAAATCCTTCCAAAACATTTTTTTGACAGTGTTTTTCCAATGTTTCCAGTCAAACAGACGGTAATTTACACGTTTTTTGCCATAAAGGCAGTAAATCCTTCCAAAACATTGCTTTTGACAGTGTTTTTGTAATGTTTCCAGTCAAGCATACGGTAATTTACACGTTTTTTGCTATAACGTCAGTCCAAAACACTTGTTTTTGCAGTGTTTTCAATGCTCTGGCATCCAAAAACCTGCAAAATCTTGCTATGTACAATGTTTTTTTTCATTTTTGGCCGTTTTTCCATTGCCGGAAAGCTACCAAAATGACCCAAAATTCCATTTCAATACCCTCTTGCGCTCAGACACCCAAAAATCCTCGAAAAATGTCGAAAACACCACCGTATTCTGGTCTCGGTGCGAAACCGTTTTTGGGCCCCCCCCCAGCTAAAGCTGATATAGCGACTGCTATATTAACAAATGTCATTGAGCATTTAGTGTTGCTGTTGCCCCCCAATAAGCACGCCTTCACCGCCAAAGCGGTGTGGGCGGATTTGTTGTACTCTCTGGTAATGACTGTTACATAGCTATTGAAAATGGCCATTGAAATAGTGAGTTTTCCCATTAACAATGGTGTTTTTCCATAGTTATGTTAGTTTACCAGAGGGTATATTCTTGATGTAGATTATAACTTACTTCTAATGTTTGATGACCAGTTTCCTACTGGAGAATGCTGATGACCCAGGTTTCCTAGAAATTAGATCATCCAATGCTGGATGGTGCCCCCCAGTGATGTGAATGTTGATTTATAAACCCCATGAATACTATAGTTATATCTACCATAAACCATAGTTTGGCGCCACGTATAGGGTGCCCCATCCAACAGTGGGAAACCTCAATACCGGTGCCGCGGGCGCCGCAAAGGCTCACCGGCAAATGCTGCTCCGGTCTTCGTCTTCACGGTGTCTTGGCGAAACCGGAAGGCACTGGGCACTTGGGACTGGGCTGCTGGGGATATGCACTAAGCATCACTAAAGCTGAAAATGATAATAGGAATATATACAATGTGGGGCCCCCAAACGTGATGGAACGATGGTTTAGATTCACCCCATTAGAATACTAGTTCGTTATTTGCGTACCATAAACCATAAAAGAAATTGGAGTTATAAACGCACCAACTGAACGCTATCTTTCGGAACAACGGGGGCACCACATCCTTGGAGGTGAACCGACAAGCTTTGCGAAAGCCGAAGTGGGCCGAGAAGAACAGTTATGGCCAGAGTTATACCGGTTATAAGTACTAAGAAGTCACCCCATTTATAACATGTTTTTTTATCCCACTGAAATAACGAGTTATAACTTTCATAGCCATGGCCATCACTGAAGGGTGTTCCACCCGGGCGATTCTTCGAAGTTGGGCACAAAACCTGGACCAAGAAGTGGAAACATGGACTGTTGGTGGACCGAGCCTGAGCTCAAATGGAGGTTTCCTAAAATTGCTGGTCCCCCAAAATCATCCAACATTGGTTATTAATTGATTATTATGTACATAATATATATATACCCTCTGGTTATTTAACATAGCCATGGTATAGATTGCCCATTTATAGATGAATTTCCCAGCTAGAAACCTCCATTTATAAGGGATTTTCCATGGCTATGTTAAATAACCAGATGGTATATATATATATATGTGTGTTATTATCAATAGATCATAGGAAAACCTCATGGTGTTGGGGTAAAGAGCGCTGTCTCTACATCCAACGTCCTGAAAGTCAGGTGACCATCCCAGGATACATTGCCCCATCCGTGTTGCTACTGAGTAGATCACCCAACGAATCCTAAGTAGGTTATATCCCTGGTTGCTGGAATAAGTGGGGTTGATCCACTTATAATTGGGGTTGATCATCCACCGACTGGATGTAAGTGGGATGATCCACCAAGTAGTTGATGATTCCGTTTTCTAAAGCGGGGGCATCTTCCGCATGCCGCCAAGATACGCGTGGTCCCTCAGTCCAGTTGGCTTCATGTTCCCATGTTTCTTGGTGATCTTCCTGCGTTTGGTGCTCATACCCATTGAACATCTACCAATCATGTTCTGGGCAAATCTGTCACCGGAACGTAGCACCATGTAGTACCCAGAATCACCATGAATCGTTGTGGGCCAAAACCTCTACCATATTTTGGGGGATGAACCATCGCCAGTCCCAGGTACCAACAACTGTTTCGATTTCTTCGACAGCAAGGCAGTTGGCTACTGGCCAGGAGAGGATCCCTGACTCTATACCTCAGTTTGCCTCAGCACATGAATTGTATGTATATGGTGATATACTATATATACAGTTAACCCTCATTAAGATAGAAACGTATTTTACATTATTTTACCATTATTAGGCGTTTACTATCTAGTTGATTAGGGTTTGCAATGTAAACACATACAATCATGTATACATATATAGGCATGGGTGTTCAGATGGTTCGATTGATTACTAAGTAAATCGCTTAACCTCATGTTCCTTCAAAATGATTGAAGAGTGTTTGATCGGGATTATATAGCCCGCTTTATGCTAAGATGAGTTGGATAGTGAATTTTCGACCGTGAACCAGCCAAGAGTATCTTCCAATCGTTTTTGGTTGAATTCTCTAGTGGTATTTGTTCATGTTTTTTCCCACCACAAGGGCGCCTAAGCCTTGCAATTCCAATCGGAGGGTAAACTGTCTCTGATCTCCAGGGGCAATTCTTGAACACATCGGAAGGTGTTTCTGGCCCATAGATATGGATAGTTTTTCATGGGAAATCCCATGTTTCCGCATTTCTCAGGATTCTGGTGTTGTTGTTTGCTTTTCAGTGGGAAACGATATTTAGACAAATGGAAGGGAGAATCATACATAGAATCGGCATGAATTGCCCAAGTGAAAAAGCATCACCATTTTATTGCCACTGTAAGTCATCGGTATCACGGCTTGTTGACCCTTGTTGAAGTAAGCCTCTGGGTTTATCAATCTGGAATTGACAAATCGGACTTAGTTAAGTAGTCAGGAACTGGGTTATCACTCATTGTATCAGCAGTCATTAGGAGACACAAACCAGTTACTATCCAATTGACTACAAGGTGGTGCCCCCACAGTTATAAGTTTGTTTAACATCGTTTACTGAAACTGTAGATACATCTACCATCATCTACCATAAACCCAAACGTTATTGGAGTTATGTGAACCCCAACTTAGCGATGACTGGCTCACTGGGGCATCACCAAACGTATGGCCCATCCATGGCCCATCGACCCAGCTGCCGTCAGGGGGGCATCCACATGTATTCCTGTGATGTGCCTGGAGACCCGCTGGGCGAATCTCATTGGGAGTACCGGAGTACCAACAAGGCCATGCTGATGGATGAAAATGGATGAAAATGGGATAGGAGTAAGAAAGATAAGACCTTTTTTTTCGTAGGCAGCTTGCCAATTTGGAAGAATCGTGCCTTTGGTAGCTAGCAGTTCGAGTGGGAAGACTTAAAAGCAAAGACCTATTCACTGGTCATCCAGCATTGCAAAAGAAAGTCAACTTGCCTCACTCCCTGAAATGTGTGATTTCCACTTCTCGTCCCACAGTACAGAGTACCATAGGAGTGCCAAATGGGAACAATTCAAATACTATGTATAGGATACTTCTGAATGCGTGTTTCCTGTGTCTTTTTCTACATAGCTGTCCCCAGTTTACCGTACCATTTTGATCACTCGGAAGGGAAGCCGTAGTCACTACTGATAAGATGGGACGGTTGCCAATGGCCAGGACTGCGAGCAGCAACGACTTTGTAGGAATGTTGTAGTCCCTGGTTTTAGAAAACATGTGACACTGGGACTAATAGACTGTGGCTGATGAAATCGTTTTTTCAAAGTGATGACCTGCTGTTGAAATAGATTCTCCGCAAGAAACTAGCTTGGATTTACCCTCTGGTAAACATACAAAATACTATGGAAAATCACCATTTGTTATGGGAAAAACCACTATTTCTATGGTCATTTTCAATAGCTATGTAACAGTCATTACCAAAGGGTATCAATCTAGGCTTCACGGCTTCATAAACCATCCAATGTTTCTGGATATCTAACTTTGACATTGACAAAACCATCATCCGGGCCCTGTCCATGGTCCGAAGATCAATCCCGGGCTCCGCCAGTCTTAAGGATCATCATATCATGTACTGGATAGAAGGACTGTCACTGATGTTTCATGGATAGTCTCTAGTAGTACCATTCCCCAAAAAAAGACATGGCCAAGTGTAAATCCCCCTTCAAAAATCATCTAGAAACATGGTGGATGGTCCATTTCCACGTGACATTACCAGGTGTTGGTCATCATGCTTAAGGTAAGGATAATGATTGCTATCGATATGTGGTGGAACTTTGTGAGTCGGAAAAGTACGCAGTACGCAGATGAATTATGGAAAATTGGACAAAAACTCCATGGAAAACGGCAGTGCAAAGATGGAAGGATGGCATTGGTCTACGGCGGATAGGGCTGTCCGCAGTCTGCAGGTGTAATTCACCCAGCTTTTTGAGAGGTACCCTCTGGTAAACATACAAAAAACTATGGAAAATCACCATCTTTTGTGGGTAAATCAACTATTTCTATGGGCCATGTTCCAGTTCGCTATGATAAAAGAGGGTACCCTATGACTTGGGTATGGCTCAAGATTGGGGACTACCCGTTGTTGGACAGTTGAATACTAAACGACAATCACATAAATCACCAGCCTTTGCCGGTTGACGGGGACCTCATTCTTGAGTGCCACTTGACCTATAAGATTGGATGATTGAGCATGTGAGCCATTAAAGATAATCCCAGCTCATTATTCTAGTTGATAGGTGTCCCTCATATTGAGATTGCTTCAATAATCCCCAAAAAACACTGTATAAGTCCCTAGAACTAATCAACCATATCTTATCAACTATATTAACCATGATTTATCAACGATATTCCATGATAATGATCATTATTCCCCATATCTTTGATAGGTTTTTCAACTTCATGTGCGCCCGATGAAAACACGTAAAAATCGCCTCGCCTCCGCGGCCTCCAAGGATGGGACGTAACATGAACCAGCAGTACCAGCTGCAGCAGGCCGAAGATAGGATTTGACGAAGAAGTCTCATGTGGAAAAAAACATGGTGGGTAAAACATGGTGATTTTTTTCGAACCACAAAATGACTGGAAATGGTAAACATACCACCTATTTTATGGTAATTTGGGGATGGTTGATTCTTGTTTTAGCCGCATTAAGGGTTCTAATAGATGTTTGAATGGCTGTTTAACATTCTTTAACACCATTATGTATAATGGCTGTTTGAATATATGGCAAATGATGTTTGTTGGATATAAACCTCAATATCACGATATGCAACAAATGGTGTTTATACTGTTCAACATTCTTTTACACCATCACTTATAAAGGGGGTTATCATCAAACATATGGTGCTACAAAATGCTATAATTGATGATACTTAATAAATGATGGTTGGTTGATGGTTACGAGGTAGTGCCTTCTAGTTATGTTCGTGTGTTTGTCAACCCTCTAAGCCAGTTATTTTCACCAACTTAGCGAACAATAGGGGCCCACCAAAAATGCTGATTTGAAGCCATCATACTACTTTTCAACAGCATGTTGGATTTTGTTTGCCAGGATTTTAATAATTGTGCCATTTCAACTGGAGAGTGGGGTTGTTATAGTAATTGTTTTCTACTGTTATATATATATATACATACGATATGAAGATATCGACGGCAATAAACCTTGGTGAATGGTTGCTGAATGCACTTTGTGTTTGCAATGAATGGACAATTGCAATCTCTCGAGCCTCAAGAATTCAATGGCCATTTCAGGAACCTAAATTGGAGGTACCTGCCATATATAAGGCCTATGTTTTAGGCCTATGTAAGGGAATATCCCCAGAAAAATATGGCCTTATATGGTGCAGTACCTCCATTTTAGGATCCTGGAATTCCCAATGAAGAATGGTGATAAGAAACCATGTGTTTTTTCCGTAGCAAATTATTCAGATGGGAAATCACCCACAGCAGGGGGGATCTGCCAGTACAGGTGAGGCTACCAATACCTAATAATATGAGTTTGTTTAAAAGTGGGGAACATTCAGAAAATAGCAATTCTAAAAGGGAACATGATAATTATCATGATATTATCATTAACAATTATTGCTATTTCTGAATCATAAAACCACATCCCAATAGCAATCTGGATTATTATCATGTTTCCTAATAGCGCATTATTATCATAACTAATAATCCAATATTGACAATAGTAACACAATACATAATAATCCATTGGGATTTCGGTTACCCAAATGTTTCAGACAAACCGACCCAGTCCTGTTACGAGGTGGATCATGGTCCCAGTATATCCCACAAGCTTTGACTGCGGTACTACCCTCTGGTTATGACTAACATAGCCATGGTATAGATTGCCCATAGAAATAGATGGTTTACCTATTAAAAATTGTGATTTTCCATGGCTATGTTAAATAACCAGAGGGTATATCACTATTGACATAATATGGAAACGTCTATTGGGATATTTGGGAGATTAATTATCACACTATTGAGTATGTTACCTTTCCATCCTGTCTCTGTGTTTTTTGGATAGTGAGGATAGTGGTCAACAGCCGATTTTGTGTGATATTGACATTTGTGCCATTGTTCCAAGCTTGTGGAAAACAATTAAGAGGAGATGGTCTTCCCCCCTATTAGGGGTAAATATACCCACTGTATGGAGTGCCAGAGTTATGGCCCTTTTACCAGTTATAAGTACTTATAAACCTATTTATGGAATGTATATTCCCATTGAAACAACCAGTTATAACTAATAAATGGTCATAACTGCAGATATTCAAAGACCATCTTTATTGTTTTTTCTTCATGACCAGTCGGCCGTGGTTTCGGCCATGGGCAACTTCCCCAATGTAACCTTACCACTCAGGGCTTTTAACAACCAGATAACCTCTACTGCGTATTGGTGACTTGTAACAACGATAAGGAACCCTAATGATTAACCCTCCAGAAAGCTAACATCGGTATGGAAAATGCAACACGTGTAGTACATGTCTAGATCATGTTCTTTCAGTTTCCCATGGATTTGTTTTAAGTTCTAGATCATTGTCCTTGCGAAACTATGGATTTTCATGGGTGCTCCATATTTGTTTACCATCTGGTTATTTAACATAGCCATGGAAAATCACCGTTTTTAATAGGTGAACCATCTATAAATGGGCCATTTTCCATGGCTATGTTCAATAACCAGATGGTAAAGAAATATGCGCCCGAGTGGTGTAAACCCAGCTTGGTATCATCAGGATGGACGACTTCAAAAAGGGGAGCAGGACTGCATAGTGGCGCAAGGCTGGACGTGGCTCGCTGGTGGCTCCCGGGTTGACTGTTGAAAGACCCACACTACTGGATTCCATGTTTCAAAGATTTTTGGGTGCACCTAAGAGATTGATGTAAACATTGTAAACATGTGTTTTTTCGGGCGCGCCGAAAAGGTTAGAAGGACCAGTTCTTGATTTAAATCTTAGCTTTTGGGTTGAACATAGGTCCAGACACCGGAACTGCCATAAGACCTAGGAATCTATCCGCTTGGATGACTCCATTCAGGTTGACACGGACCTAATAATCGATGGTTAAGATTCCCGCCTTAGTAGTGTTGGTTGGTCAATAAGTCCAAAACATAATTCTTAACATGATTGGGGGGGTCTCCGTGATGGGCGTTGTTGGCTGAAGCTACATTTTTTTGCGAGGAGTATTCCTGAAATTTTTCGGGGCCAAGGTGGTAAAGCCTCAAGAAGTGGCTGGCTGGGTGTATCATGATCCCGGTGGTGCCAAGTTCTTGTGACGGGACCTTTCCGGTAACTTCATCCGAGAACTTGGTGGAATTGTCATCCCTTTTCAAGTACCCTCTGGTTATGACTAACATAGCCATGGTATAGATGGCCCATAGAAATAGATGGTTTACCTATTATAAATGGTGATTTTCCATGGCTATGTTAAATAACTAAATGGTACTTGAAATCCTGTTTGACCATATTTCATTTTTGGCTATACCTGGGTACATTTTTGTGAATGGGGGGTTCATGTGCTTTTTGTTATGCCGCAGGACGAAATATTTCATTCACAATCAACATCCGATCTAACTGCAACAAATCACAAACCCTGCTTTTTAGATCAGCGGACATATCAAGCTTGAAATGGTACCACTGCCTTATTAAAGCAGATGTCTAGTCAATAACAATGCTTCAATATTTCACCTGGTGCTTTCAAACATGATTCTATTCAAACATATTTAGGACGATAATACCAATTGATCTCCTCTTATTTTTTGGTTAGGTGGTTTAACCACCAACCAGAAACCAATAGCTCAGTGTTAAATCATGTTAAATCATGGTGAATCACTACCATTGTTTATCGGGTCAATGAAGTGATTTGTTTGAGGATTTGCCTGATTTGCCAACTATTTTCAACGACCACACCCAGCTTAAGTTCTGCCTGGCACGTTGAAACCCAAAAACCACCAAGTTGATGGGAAAAGCCCGCTGCCGCGGCACCAGAAAATCGTGTGTCACTGAAGCCCTGTGCTGATCTCCAACCCAATGAGGTCCGCGGGTCGAAAATCGCCTAGAAGTGTGTATATATATATATATTTATACACACATAGTTTGCATATATGGGGATCAAAAAAAAAATAGATGCTGAACAGCTTTTCAAAGCTGGTAGATTAATGATATTTGCCCATTCAATCTGTGTTCGACTGTTCCATCTTTAGGGCTGCTATACATGATGGCTTAAGGGTAGTGGGGTATCCCAAAATATCGCAATGAATCTGGTGTGGGGATTGATTTTGAACTAGACAAAGTGAAGAACCTGAGATTTGAGAGGTGGACTTGCGCATGTCTTTCAGGAATCGGAAAGTCATCCAGAAAGGGTGGATGTTCTTGGTGAATCTTTATGATAGTTTACTGCAGGGTAATCAACACATGATTGAGAGATCATGGGGTGATATGTTGATCGTTATTTGGAAAGTGTCCTGGTTTGGAGTTCAAGGTTGTTTTCAGTTGAGTTTTCTGTGCTGACCAAATTGGCAAAGGATAATCAGGAATCCGCAAAAGTTGTTGGAACAGTGTCAAACCTTGGTGAATACCTACAGGATGGTGCGCTCCAGTGATGTTTGTTGGTTTATAAACCCCATGAATACTAGTTCGTTACATCTACCATCAACCATACGGCAAAACCATAGAATTCAACCCCATTAACTATAGTTATATCTACCATAAACCATAGAATTCTGCCACTTATAAGGCAACTGAACGCAACAACGAACGGGGGCCCCATCCAGCACAGTTATGCTGGCTACTGTAGAACCCTTCCATTGCAGTGTCATCTGAAACTTTGATCAGACGCCATAGCCTGGCCGACGCCAAAACTAAGGGGGACCACTCGGAAACTGGTCTATTGTTGAGATGATAAACATGTGTTTTCTCAGGTTTTGAACAGATTTACTTATTCCCTAAGTCTTATCATGAGTTAACTCCGGGGATAGGTCAAAATTGGATACCCAAATCATTAGATGGTTCAATACTTCATACTAAAACATACACATTTCAATCTGTGGTCTCTTCTGCTCAAATGTTGACCCATACCCATATGATGGTTTTATGTTGTTGCCGTTTTCCACCAGGGCATCTTCCGAAAGATCGAGCCGCAAGAGACGAAAGAATATCAGGTCTACCGTTCGGACCCCAGTGCACCAGTTCGTTAGCTCAGTCAGTTAATAGATGGGATTCCCCTAAGCTATTGTTGGTTGATCATTATACCTGCTTGGTGCTTTGGAACATCAATTTTATTTTTTATTTTTCCGAGTTATAAGGAGTTACCCTCTGGTAAACGTTTACAAACATAGCTATTGAAAATGGATGAAAATGGCCCAGTCGAAATAGTTGATTTACCCATTGGATATGGTGATTTTCCAGAGTTTGTTTTATTTGTTCCATTCAGTTGGGAATAATCATCCCAACTGACGAACTCATATTTTTCAGAGGGGTAGGTAAACCACCAACCAGATAAGGAGTTATATTGCCTTATTGGGGAGTATAAACCGCCGTAGGGAAACATATCAACTAGTGACATAATGAGATGGGAACACGGGGTATTCTGGGTATTCTTAATGCCTCAACTGTCATCGTCCCGTGACTCCATGGTCATATTTGCACATGGGGTTTCCAGCTAAATGGAGGTACCCCAATAGATGGATGGTTTATATCAATGGCCATTTTAGGAACCTAAATTGGAGGTACCTACCATATATAAGGCCTATGTAAGGTCTATGTAAGGGAATATCCCCACAAAATATGGCCAAACATATGGTACGAAAGTACCTCCATTTTAGGATCCTGAAATTCCCATTGATTATATTGGAACATCCTTTTAAAATTGATGATTTGGGGGTCCCACTTAGGAAATCCCCACATGTTGTGGGCGATTCCCCCCCATTCACCATTCTCAAGATCCGTTGGACTTGCTTCAATGGCAGACTTACAGGAAAACAGAACAATTCGGATGGAAATAACATCCTGGGTTTCCGTGTAGATTTGTTCCTCACATGCATCCCAGAAATAACTTGACTTGATTATTTTGCTTCTCCGGGAAACACTGATACGTCAGAGGAAAAATCAATGGTGCCCTCTATGAAGTTCCCAGTTTTATAGGTTTACCGCGGATATTGAACCTCTATATGTTCCACATAGATCCACATAGGTTTTCCAATTTATTTCATCCATTAAACCAACAGTTAGACAATTCACCCAGCAGTGTTTGTCAGATAAGGTCGTGAGCTGGCCAAAGATCAGTGGGACAGCAAGTTCCCAGCATTGCCAGATAACTGAGACCGACAAAAAAGTGCCGCAATGTGCATTTAATTGGATTAATAAATGGGATTCATATACTAAGATATTGTTGGTTGATCATTGTACCTGGTTGGTGGTTTGGAACAGTTTTTGGTTTTCTATATATTGGGAATAATAATGCCAACTGACTAATATTTTTCAGAGGGGTAGGTCAACCACCAACCAGATACTATCCAAAATGTGAATCATCCCACTTGCATCCAGTCGCTTAGTTCACCCGAATAAGTGGATTGACCCGACTTATCCCAACAGGGATACAACCTACTTGGGATCCGTGGTATGATCCACTAAGTAGGGAATGTAATGGCAATGTAATGGGAATGTAATGCGATTATACAATGGAAACAGGTGGGATTTCCCTCATATGTTGTTAGTTGATTATTATATATCATTATATCAGGGGAATATATATTATCATATATCATTATTATATATCATTATTATATATCATTATCATATATCATTATTATATATCATTATTATATATCATTATCATATATCATTATTATATATATCATTCTTATATATCATTATTATTTATCATCATTATATATCATTATTATATATCATCATTATATATCATTATTATATATCATTATTATATATCATTATTATATATCATCATTATATATCATTATTATATATCATTATTATATATCATTATTATATATCATTATTATATATCATTATGATTTATCATTATTATATATCATTATTATATATCATCATTATATATCATTATTATTTATCATTATTATCTATCATTATTATATATCATTATTATATATCATCATTATATATCATTATTATATATCATTATTATATATCATCATTATATATCATTATTATATATCATTATTATATATCATTATTATATATCATCATTATATATCATTATTATATATCATTATTATATATCATTATTATATATCATTATCATATATCATTATCATATATCATTATTATATATATCATTATTATATATCATTATTATTTATCATCATTATATATCATTATTATATATCATTATTATATATCATCATTATATATCATTATTATTTATCATTATTATCTATCATTATTATATATCATCATTATATATCATCATTATATATCATCATTATATATCATCATTATATATCATTATTATTTATCATCATTATATATCACCATTATATATCATTATTATATATCATTATCATATATCATTATTGTATATATCATTATTATATATCATTATCATATCTCATTATTGTATATATCATTATTATATATCATTATTATATATCATTATTTTATATCATCATTATATATCATTATTATATATCATTATTATATATCATTATTATATATCATTATTATATATCATCATTATATATCATTATTATATATCATTATTATATATCATCAATATATATCATTATTATATATCATTATTATATATCATTATTATATATCATTCTTATATATCATTATTATTTATCATCATTATATATCATTATTATATATCATCATTATATATCATTATTATATATCATTATTATATATCATTATTATATATCATCATTATATATCATTATTATATATCATTATTATATATCATTATTATATATCATTATTATATATCATTATGATTTATCATTATTATATATCATTATTATATATCATCATTATATATCATTATTATTTATCATTATTATCTATCATTATTATATATCATTATTATATATCATTATTATATATCATTATTATATATCATTATTATATATCATCATTATATATCATTATTATATATCATTATTATATATCATTATTATATATCATTATCATATATCATTATCATATATCATTATTATATATATCATTATTATATATCATTATTATTTATCATCATTATATATCATTATTATATATCATTATTATATATCATCATTATATATCATTATTATTTATCATTATTATCTATCATTATTATATATCATCATTATATATCATCATTATATATCATCATTATATATCATCATTATATATCATTATTATTTATCATCATTATATATCACCATTATATATCATTATTATATATCATTATCATATATCATTATTGTATATATCATTATTATATATCATTATCATATCTCATTATTGTATATATCATTATTATATATCATTATTATATATCATTATTTTATATCATCATTATATATCATTATTATATATCATTATTATATATCATTATTATATATCATTATTTTATATCATCATTATATATCATTATTATATATCATTATTATATATCATTTTTATATATCATCATTATATATCATTATTATATATCATTATTATATATCATTATACTACCCATAAACATGTGAATCATTTGTCATTCTGTAATGTGATAGGAACCGATGGGATTTTTCCCAAAATTCATGGGGATGATCGACAAAAATCCAGTGAACTGACCCTTCGACTCTAACGGAAGCGACCACGTCTGGAGGGATCAGTGTTTTCATGTTTTTTTCCATTTAACCCTCTGGTAAACATACAAAAACTATGGAAAATCACCATGCTATCAATGGGTAAATCCTCTGAGCTATACTGGTTCGTGGTTTGGAACATTTTTTTTTCCATTCAGTTGGGAATAATGATCCCAACTGACTAATATTTTTTCAGAGGGGTTGAAACCACCAACCAGTATATGTTTAATGAGAAAATCAACTTTAAATGATGGGATACAGGTTAAGAGTGATTAATGGGCATTTCAAGTGGGATTCACCCAATGCCATAAACAACCACAAGTTGGTTACGATATGAACCCCACCCTTAAATGGTGAGTCATTCAGGAGTCATTTGAGATGTTTGGTCAAATTGATCCTATAGGCGGGGATTTCCGAGGGTAGGATGCATTTTGATTATTTTTTCCGCTGAAACCTTCTCAATCTCCACATCTTGGCCCAGCGCTCGATCGAATAAAACTGCGCAGCTTGCGGTTGCGCCGTGGCGCGAGTTTGTGCGCCAGGACGGCGCGGAGTGGGTACGATGGGTTTGAACATAGTTGGATTTCTTGGATGTTTATTGTGAAAGTGATTAATACTCATTCATCGTGATTAATTGTGATCATGATATCATGTTTAATAGTGAATACCTGGGTTTGCTAAAGATGATGAACGTTGATTTCCCCAAAGAGAGACCAATTTTTTGAGAAATCCATGGGGAAGAGGTATTACATTGTTGGGGTTCCACAAGCAAATCCCAAGAATTCGTTCATCGTTTGGTCCCAGATACGATGAGGATCTAACGGACATATGATGAGGATGGGATGGTTTAAACTGGTGGTGCAAGTTGGTGCGGTGCCCCCAAGTTATAAGCTGGCTGTTAAACTCAATGAAGTATATAAGATACATGCACCATAAATCCTAGTTAACCTACTTGTTAACCAACTTAGCCAATTTTGGGGATTTGCTGATTGAAAACTGGAACTATTACAGGTAAATACCCAACAGTTTCATATTTTTGATGTGCTGAAAAATGGGGGATAGCCCAACTTCCTGCCCGTTAGACTTTTGGCAGAGTATCAATCAAGCAGCAAAGCCATGAGTGTTGATGATGTGTCACCTTTGCTGAATTTATGTTGCGAGAGTGTATGTACCTTGTGGGAATCATTGCCGTAGCTGCGACTTCGAAATGGTCGCTGGAAGCCGCCATCTTGGCAGATAAACGTTCAGCCACCCCGCAGAAACAGAAATACGCGCACCAAGTCAAGATTGAACTCATGCATCTTGAGTGGAAAGCACCACGCAACTCTCAGAGCCGGCCAGGACCCTTGAGTTAGCTCCATTCTGACCTGGTGCAGCACGCAACTTTTTCGTGAAAGGGCTATTGCCCTCAAATACCCACAGCGCATTGGGAAGCATTGCGCGGATCACAAGATCACAAAGCTGTTGTGCGCAGACGTGTCCGCATGGGAAGCATCATGGTCTGCACCCTTGAAAGAAGTGTCGCGTGCCTTAGACGATGCTAAGTGGCTAGTAGTGGAAGCTTTGTACTACAGTTTTGATTGGTTCATCATAGCCCATTCAGCACCCCCTAAAATCAATGAACACGATCCCTTGAAGACCTAAGACTGTGTGGTTCTCAGTTTTCAAGGGTGTTACTTTGGTGAACCTATTGACTGTCCATTTTGCATGCTGTTTAAGTCTCATGTTCTAACATGGTTTGAAATTCTCATTTTTTGGTAACGGTTACATCATGATGACTCATCTGACATAATTCAGGTGGGAATGGGTCAAAACCATCCATTTTTTGTGGGGTGCACATCCATAACATGCTAGCTACCTTGGGGCTGGGAGGTTTTGGCGCATACCCACGTGTCCAACCCTGGGCCCTCCAAGTACAATACACCTGCTAGGACACGGCTGTGGCAATGGAGGCCGGAGCCCCCTCCATCGCAGCCAGGGACATGGGAGGGGGTTGATGCGGGAGACACACATCACGTATGGGCCATCAAAGTTGCACGTTGCTGATCGGTTGATGTGGTTTATTAAGAGGATGAAAAAAAACATTAACCTATTTACAGCCAGGATAATGAGATATAATGAGATGGGATAGGCATCTTTTTTCATGGCTCATATCTAATAAGATCATATTTGAGTCGAAAAGTGTGGGGTGATGTTGTCCAGGACATGATTGGAAATCATTTGGGGATGGGTCAAAACCTCGCATTTCTATATTTGAGGGATGAAGATCCATGTAAAATGTGCCAGTGGTTTTTTAATGGTTCACCACACCAGAGTTTTGACCCACAGCCATGTGTTTTATGTGTTGTTGTTTCATGTATGTTGCTCCATGTGGTGAGTGTTTGGGTGTCAGGTTTCTTGGTGAGCAGCAAACTAGCCTGGGTACAACAACAACAACAGCAGCAACAACAACAACAACAGACTTATATATTATATCATGCGTGTATATATATATACATAGCATTAACAATAAGACC